ATCAATAAATGTACTAATAAAGGGAGGATAGGCCATCGCTATGTTAACAAACAATTTCTAAGTGCTTAAAAATGGTGAGAGTAAACAAACCGAAGTATAAATAAGTACTACTGTTGATGAGTTGACCTGGGTATTCCATTGGTTGGTAATATCCAAAACCTTCTGGTAGGCTGATGCAAAATATTGCTAAATGACCTTAAGCTATATATGAGTATGTAAATCTAACTTGAGCTTTGTTATTTGAGAAAAAACATTGTAAAAATGCAAAGAAAAAACAAAATAAAGCACTCGGAGACAATTTTGACAATAATATAATGATACATAATTAAAAAAAAACACTTAAAGATAAATAAAATGGCCCTAATCTATGTAAAAAGAAATAAAAATGAACTAAGACAACAAATGTATGATCGAATCAATTTAATAAAGGTTTGTAAACAATGACTCTGGTATTAACTTAAAAACAGCATGGAATAGGAAAAGCTATTAAATGAATAATGTCGATTATAAATTTAATTGATTAAAGAATTATGAATATGGTGTGATTTAAAGCACTTAACTGTGTTTGCGATCATAGAAATTGTTTACAATTTGTTATGGGGAATAGAACACCAATTAACATGGGAAAGTGATGTCTCTTTGAAATTTAATATAAAGTCAAAGGATGGATGAAAAATTAAAAACAGGGTGGCGGACAATTGAAAACATTTGGGGGAACAACATATAAGAAATTTAGATAGAAATAAAAACGCTAAGATAAAAATTTGAGTGTCCAAAGTCAGAGTTTACAAAATACTAATTTTAACATAGCGATAGCCTATACCTAGGAGCGTCAAAAAATTTAAAGATACTGATAATTAGAGTACCAGACCACTGGAAAATAAAAAGTTAATATATTTGAATAGAGAATCGCATGAAGGATTGAAATGAAATGCTTTAAATTTGAAAAGAGTCGATAAGTTAATGAAAATTTAAGCCAAAGATAGCAATGATTACCACTTGCAGTGGATGACATGTTAAAATGGCGATATGACACTCTAAGCCTAAATCAAAGGAACATCGAAAATCTATAACTTGAAAACGGAAAAAGGGGCCTCCCAGAGGCCGGGAAAGACTCACCAGGAATGCCTTGGGGTGTTACATGCTGTTTTTATTAAGAATTGGGTGGAACAAATAGATATTTAACGCTTTTATTAGCGATTTTTTGGAGCTCTGAATAGAGATGCTGCTTGTGTAGTTCTTATTACTATATTATCTCTATGTTATACTGCCATACAAATCTTTAAGGTTACCATTGGCCTATGGTATACTGCCATACGAATTTCTGTGGTTGCCATAGCCCAATGGTGACGTGCCATACAAATCCTTATGGTTACCATTGGTCTATGGTATACTGCCATACAAATCTTTATGGTAGCCATAGGCTTATGGGGTTGTGCCATACAAATCTCTATGGTAACCATAGGCGTATGGCATCCGGCCATACAAATTTCTATGGTAGCCATAGGTTGCCATAGATTACCATAGGCTTCTCTATGGCAAATTTTCCTAAGGGTTATTTTTGTTCATTTGACCTATTTATTTTGACTTATTAATTTACTTTAGCTAATTTAAAATATGAAGTATAGGCAGAATGTTTAACAAACCTTGTCGTGTCACTTTGAAAATAATGTACCATAAAAGCTCATTTAAAAACTCTGTAAAATATAATTATTAAAATTTATAAATACTCTTTAGCTTATGTTCATTCAGCTCTTATAAGCTTTAAGAAAATAGAAGCAAATTTCTGATTAAATATAGTACACTTTTGTGCTTTATGTAATATTTTAATTTAATTTTTTATTGAGATTTTGTGATCCGACAAATTTAACGTGCACCAGCCACCATTTACTACACGGGGAGGCTTCGGCCTGCTGGATTCGAACTCCCGTTCTTACGAGCGTGAGTCCAGTATCCTGCCAACCAGGATATCCCGGCCCATTTAACTTATTTAGAGAAACTTTAAAACTAATATTTTGGATTAAAAAGTCTCACGAGACTGAATTCTTTTTTATTCCGATCATTTTGTGACGTTTGCTTCGACTAAAAATTTCTCATCTGAATTTGTTTTGAAAATTATAAATAGCTTTTTTCTTTTTTAAATTTGCATCCGTTGATCAATTATAGAACACTTGAGATTTAACCAAGTTCCCTTTTAAATTCACATGATAACCAGAGCCATAAGTTTAATTTGTACATTCATTAAAGTGGTTGTGTGTTGTTAATCGCTAACTGTGACAGTAAAAAATGTTCGATTAGTTTCTCAGTTAAAGAATTTGTTGCTGAATGTGTAATATTTTTACGCATTGTTCCACCTAAGCTCCCTAGAAATATTTTTTTCAATCGTAAATATTAGTGTGTCCAGTGCACAGAATATAAAAGTGAACACAATAATTGATTGAAAATTGATCTAATGACAAGATTTTCTAGAACTAGGACACAATCTTAATTATTCGAGAGCTTAACATAAAATATATTAATTTTCAGTGCTGACGATATTCTAAGTTACGAAATCAGACACAAAAAGTACTTTCTCTGAAAAAATACCCTTGCATTTTTACACTCATAAAATATTGGAGTTAGCCGCAATCTCAAAAAAATTGCCCGCAAGTTTAAGCAGGAGAACGGTAAAAAATGTGGACCTCTTAAAATTATATTTTCTTTTTGTGTATTTCGGCCTGTTTCGTGTACTTTTTAAGAAAAGCGAAAGCTTTTTGCACATTAAAATCCGTTCAACCAGAAAAAAAAATTCATTACAAAAAACAATTTCTAATAAGTATTTATTATTTTATTTAACAGTCGAAAAGATTTCGAATTATAAGGAATACAAATTTTTAAATAATTCAATCATTTTTGTATTAATCTTAAAAGCATTATTCAACATCTCACGAGATTGGTTAAATTCATCATCATATATTATATAAAAAATCATTATACACATTAAGATTACTTTACTTAACCATGCGTACCTGTTCATACTCAGGATAGCTTAGATTGGCCATTGTTTCAAAACTAAATTCTGTTATATTTTCTTGCGGAAGAAGCATTTTTCTAGCAAATCCATAACCAGGCAGACCATGATCTCGACCACGTTGAATATTAAGAGCAATTAGATCTCGACGTGTAAATTCCGGTGGACCATGTAAATAACCTAGTCAATCACAATAAAATTGTTAATTGCTTCCAATTATAAAGCATTATGTTCTAGATAAGTGGTTCCAAATTTTTAGCGATTTGTGGCGCATTTTTTGACTAGCGGATTGCTAAGGGCTCTCTCTATATATTTCAGTTTAAGGAAATATTTATTATATAATATATATATTTCCTCATGTCCTATATGCCCACAAAGAGGCAAGGCTCACTCACTTTTCTAGATGCTTTTTTGATACGATATCAAAATTAATACGATTTAATTTTGGATATCTAAAAAATAATCTTTTATAATTTTTAAAAAAATGTAGACCGTACGCAAAATACTCCATCGACTCAAATAAAAAACTTCTTTCTGTTCAAGTCAGGAAAAGAAAATACAGTTTAACATTATATCGAATACAAATAAATTTAACGTTATTCCTTTCGGAGTTTTACAGATCACAAATTTTTGGCAATTAGTCAAATTGATCAGCTATAGAACAATGTAGGGGAGAGGGGGGCACATGTGAACATGGTATGTTTTACCAATATGATCTGAAATAAAGAATCTTGAATTATTTTCAATTGATGGCAGTATTAGTCCTACCTCTCTGCAAAACTTTCAGAACAATGAGACATTTTGTTGTTCCATTCTGACAATTTCTTTGTACCAGCTGGTGTTGTTTATATTATAATCACTCGCTTCTTCAAGTGAAAGCATAGTATAAATCAACTCATGAACTAAAATTAACTATTGCAGACCATTATGTGAACATTCAGGTTAGTTTATGACAATAATTTATTTTTTTTACTCAATTAAAAATTCTTGATTTTTCAAGTTAGGTTTAAGAAGGATGATGGGGCACTTGTGAACAAAACATCTGGGGCAGATGTGAACAGTTCACATGTGCCCCTACATAGTATTAAGATTAAGATTATTATCCTCATGATATTATAAGTTTAAAAAATATGTATGCATTTAAAATTCATATTATTTAGTTTTCCATAATTAATTTATTATTTTTTCTTTAAAATTTTTTTAAAAAATTAAATGGTTGATCGCGCATTACGTATATTAACTGATACACCTGGGAGAGATAGAATTGCTAAAGCTACAAATGAAAAAAATGAAAAAATGATTAAAAAAAAAAAAAGCATGAAGGAGTATTAGAGAAGAAAGAAAAAGGCCCATTACAACTCCTGAGGAACATGAAGTTGCGAAAAACCCAACAGCGGAAAAATTATTGTACAGCTGAAAAATTATTTTCCCGTTGACAGTACTGTTGTACAATTTAAATTCACATGGTAAGCTACAACCCCTTCAGTATAATACGCATCTATATCTGTTATATTAAAGATTTTTTTCTTTGAAATATGATGATTGCTTTGTGTTTTTAATTTTGTTCATCTGTGCCCCAGGCATGTTCACATGTGCCCCCAATAGGGGCACATGTGAACAATTGAAGTCATTTTTCTAAAATATCATAAAGTAAAGAAATATTTTACTGAAAAATCTCAAAAAATTCACTTCCCGAACTATTGGGTTTAATTTTCCTGATACATTATGATTGTATTTAGAATATTTTTTAAAAATTCGGCTATATTTTAACAATATTTTTTTGCTCACTGCAAGCAAACTTTTGTTGTTCTTTCGGATTTTTAAATGATTATAAAAAGAAGTTTAAAGATTCATAAATTGTTTATGATAATATAATAAAACATTTTAGTCATAAAACATACTTCTCAAATCATCAACCACAGAGGTATCTTCTTTTTCTGCAGCTTGAAAAGTCATCCCAAGTATTAGATTTTCAATGCCACTTCTATAAACAATTTCCTATGAAGTAAAAAAAAAAAGTGTTTTTTTATTTTTATTTTTATAATATGTGCAAACGTCAATAATATGCATCTTTACAATAAATTCAAAATACCGGGATAGCCTGGTAGATAGGGCACTAGGCCCGCGTCCAAGAGGTCGTGGGTTCGATCCCCGCCGGTCGAAAGCTCTCCGTGTAGTAAATGGTGACTGGTGCACGTTAAATCTGTTGGGTCACAAAGTTCTCCATGTTCTCATAACAAATTAAACCTCTATGGGGTACTGGTCCAGGAGATTCCTTTTCTGGAGTGGGTTCAAAATTACAAGGCTACCGAGTTGAGCATTAGTTGTCGTAAATCCAAAATTGGGTCGGCTGCTCAACAACGATTATAAAAATAAAAATAAATTAAAAAAGACAGCCGTATTAGCTCAGGTGATAGAGCGCTTGCTTCTCAATGAGATGAACCGGGTTCGAATCCCGGTAATGGCTGGTTGATTCGAATTCCGCACCCGGCTCGCTCCAACCACAGTGCTGACGTGAAATATCCTCAGTGGTTGACGGATCAGGGGTTAGAGTCTCCTCGCCCTCACGCTAATTGTGGGAGGTTTTCCTCTCCGTGTAACACAAATGCGAGTTAGTTCCATCAAAAAGTCCTCCACGAAGGCAAAATTTCTCCCAATACTCGATCCAGGCGTTCCCTTTTCCTCTAGATTGGGTTCAAAATTACAAGGCTATGGAGTTGAACATTAGTAGTCGTAAACCCATAAAATTGGGATGGCTGTTCAAGGACANATGTGCTATATGCCCACAAAGAGGCAAGGCTCACTCACTTTTCTAGATGCTTTTTTGATACAATATCAAATAATTTTAACGATATCAAATATTTTTTAATAAAATAACGATTTAATTTTGGATATCTAAAAAATAATCTTTTATAATTTTTAAAAAAATGTAGACCGTACGCAAAATACTCCATCGACTCAAATAAAAAACTTCTTTCTGTTCAAGTCAGGAAAAGAAAATACAGTTTAACATTATAACGAATACAAATAAATTTAACATTATTCCTTTCAGAGTTTTGCAGATCAAAAAATTTGCAATTAGTCAAATTGAGTTAGCTACAGAACAATGTATCTGAGGAATATTTGAGGAAACAAAAGTAATGCTCAAATAATTGTTCACTTTCCGTACTATTGAGTTTCATTTTCCTGATACATTATGATTGTATTTAGAATATTTTGAAAAATTCGGCTACAGTTTTACAATATTTTTTTAATCTCTGTGAGCAAACTTTTGTTGTTCTTTAGGATTTTTGAATGATTTTAAAAAGAAGCGTAAACATTCATAAATAGTTTATGATAATACAATAAAACATTTTAGACATAAAACATACTTCTCAAATCATCAACCACAGAGATATCTTCTTTTTCTGCAGCTTGAAAAGTCATCCCAAGTATTAGATTTTCAATGCCACTTCTATAAACAATTTCCTATGAAGTAAAAAAAAAGTGTTTTTTTTTAAAAAATACGTGCCAACTTCAATAATATGTATCATTACAATAAATTCAAAGAGGTCGTGGGTTCGATCCCCGCCAGCCGAAAACTCTCCGTGCAGTAAATGGTGACTAGTGCAGGTTAAATCTGTTGGGTCGCAAAGCCCTTCTTATTCCCATAATAAATTATACCTTTATGGGGTACTCTGATCCAGGATATTCCTTTTCTGGATTGGGTTCAAAATTACAAGGCTACAGAGTTGAGCATTAGTTGTCGTAAACCCAAATTTGGGTTGGCTGTTCAACAACGGTTATAAAAATAAAAATAAATTCAAAAAGAGAGCCGTATTGGCTCAGGTGATAGAGTACTTGCTTCTCAATGAGATGAACCGGGTTCGAGTCCCGGCAATGGCTGGTTGATTCGAATTCCGCACACGACTCGTACCGACCACAGTGTTGACATAAAATATCCTCAGTGGTTGTCGGGTCATAGGTTAGAGTCCCCTCGCCATCAGGCTAACTGTTGGAGGTTTTCCTCTCCATGTAACACAAATGTGGGATAGTTCCATCAAAAAGTCCTCCACGAAGGCAAAATTTTTCCCAATACTCGATCCAGGCGTTTCCTTTTCCTCTAGATTGGGTTCAAAATTACAAAGCTATGGAGTTGAACATTAGTAGTCGTAAACCCATAAAATTGGGATGGCTGTTCAAGGACAGTTATAAAATAAAATAAAATACTTAATCCAGTCAGGAGTTCCCTGGGGATCATTGTTCAAATCAGATTGAATTTTGTAGATTCTAGAGTCTTAACCTCCATGATCCTCGATTGCTTTTTCTACGGTAGTGTTTTACTTAATAAATAAGGAAATTGTGTTAATATATATATATATATATACAGTGAATTCGCGATAACTCGAATCTGATAGGACTGACAAAAAACTTCGACATATCGGAATTTCGACTTACCGTTAGTTTCGGTTTTGGACTTTCAAAATATTGTCGGATTATTTAATTAATGCTTATTAATTACAAATCCTCTAAATGCTTACAATATTTAAGATTATTTTTCTGACAAGCCATTTACGATAAGACTTTTTGAAGCACTTTATAATACTCTGGTCCATCATCTGCAACTTTGCTGTTGTGTTTGGCGGGAGAAACTGCAAATTTACTGCTTTCAAGTTAGGTAGATCACTATGCGCTGTACATTTATACATAAAGAGTATCACAAGAGAAACATCGGGGATTTCGGTATTTTCCGATAACAAGTAAGGGCAATTTCTCTGTCCCAGACGCATTTCTTTCAACTAGTACAGTCAAACGTTCCTTGCTCATTTTACCTCCTGAGCAGTTTTCATCCTTAAACATCACAGTCTTATTTGGAAGACATTTAAAAAATAAACCCATTTCATCATATTGAAAACATCATTTTAACTGTATCCTTGAAGTAAATTTGGTAACGTTTCATTTAACCACTGTTTACATACTTCAAGAGGGACAGCTTTAGCTTCTCCATGAATAGTGTGAAAGACATTGTGTGTGTGT